GAGGGTTTGTCCTAAGCCATCCGCTAAAAAGTCTAGAGTCTTTAAAAATATCATTTGCTTTTTTTGCAGACCCAGACAGACTCAGCTCTGAGCTTTACCACGCTGTTGGTTTCTATGGTAACTATTCGTAGTTCCTGACCGCTGTTCTTCAGCTTCTGTGCTGGAATGCCCGAAGAGCGCCCTTGTTCCAGGAAGGGGCCCTGCCTTGCTTTCTGCCTGGGCCTCAGTCGGGGATTTGCATAATGAGCAGCAAAGCCATCGCTGGTCCAGCTTCACGTTCCTCTGCTCCTCTTAAATTCACATGATGGCCTTTTGGAACTCGAGACAGCAGAGCAGGGTAGTGACAAGTGTAGACTTTGCAGCCAGACTGCGTGGTTTGAAACCCAGGTTCTGTCACTTACTCACTCTTTAACACTGGGCAAGTTCCTTACCCTCTTTGAGTCTGTCTTCTGATCTTTAAACAAGAAATAAAAATCGAACGTATCTCAAAGACTCGTTAGGAGGATGCGCATGTATAAAAGCGCTTCGAACAGCCCTTGACACACAGTGAGGGCTACATATGCGCTACCGATGAAGACTATTGTTGCGCACCTGTCGGATCCCCACCCCACCCCCGGTATTTGGCCTGAGTCAGCAACTGATGTGGGATTCTGGGAGTGAGGAACTTGTGGGTATTACAGAGGAAAGCCTGTTATCGACAGCTTCTGGGCCCAGGCCCTTTTGCACCTGCAGTTCGGGGTACACGGCCCACCCAGATGGGGTCTGCAGCTGGGAGAAACCTCTCAGCGCATTACCCAGGAGGACGTGACCACTCGACTAGCTGGCATTCAGGCCCCACCGCCAAAGGCTCGTTGGGCTGCTCACGCCTTGAATGTGGTGAGCAGACAGTGCTTTTCTTCCGCGTTCGATGTCTGCAGGGAAAGTCAAGGCCGAGCGTTCGAGGTCACCAGACAGTGAGAAAGGGAAGAAGCCCCCGAGCCTGGGAGCAAAGCGAGCCCCCTGGGAGGAGAGGCAGGGACTGAACTGTGGGAGGGAACAGTGCTTCCCAGGCTTCAGGCCCGAGACAAATGTGACAGGCCTTTACACCTCGATGTGTGCGTTTCCTCCAGAGACAGTCTTTTACATTGTCAAAATTAGCAAAATAGCAGGGACGTAAGGTTTCTATCTAATTGTCAGGCTATATTCAAATTTCACCAATCGTGCCAGTTTTTAGCTTCATTTTCATTTCCTTTTTGATGGCTGTTTCATCACGCAGCTAGTACATGACGATGTCCACATAAAACATTTCAGATAAAGCCAAAGTAGCCCTCCCCACACCATCCCCCTCCGCCCCGGTTTCTGGAACCTTAAAAGGCATGTCGTGGATTGGGTAAGAGCATGCGGTCTCTGTCACTTGCTGGCTCTGTGGCATTAAGCGAGTTCCTTAAACTTTGTGCATTTCCGTCATCTGGAAAACAGGAATAATAGTAGCAACAATGGCATAGGAACGCCACAGCCGTGGGTTTGAAATGAATCCATCCCGTAAAAGTCTAAGAATAGTGCCCAGCACCGCTGGACAGTCTGGCCGGGCCCCAGGCGAGGCGGAGTCCCAGGTACTGGGCGGCATGGGGACAGGTGCGTGCTGACCCCAGGGGTCGGGGACTCCCCAGGGAAGCTTTCAGGAGCTGGCCTGTGCCAGACCGAGGCTTCATCTATTTGAAATTTCCACATCGCTATAAATATTCCAGACTCGATGAGTGCTTATTGGGCAGCAATGAAAGTTAAATAAAACATCTCAGGGGTTTGTTCGCGTCCTTCGCATGTAGCTCGTGAAGGGTTACATGGGTGCCGGGCGCCTGGTCGGGGCCACGTAGGGAGTCAGCCATGGCCTTGGAGAGAAGCGGTCCTTGCGCAGCTCTGTGTTGGTGTGGGGAGCCGGGCACGGTCTCCAGCCGCGGCGTCACACAGCGCATCAGAGAGCAGCCTGGATAGACATCTTGCCCGAAATCCTCCTGGCTGACTAGGCTGGCACTAGTCACTTCACCTCTCTGAGCCTCCGCCTCCATCGTGCACGATGGGGATGGTGACCTAGGCTGCGGCTGGTGACTGAGCCCAGGGGAGTTTTTTTTGTGAGGCACAGCCAGAGAGAGGAGGAGGAAACGCAGTCCCCCCAGCTGGCCTGACAGACAGCTGGGGAGGCCCTCCTTCCTGTGAGGGCCTGGGCCCAGCGCTCAGCCCTCCGAGCCTCCCAGCTCCCCAAACCACAGCCCAGAGGTGTGAAAGAAAGAGAAAAAACAGGGGGAGGGGTGGCGGAGAAGACACAGGTGCACATTTCACACCTTGACCACAGGTGGGGCCCGGAGCAGCTTCGCTCTGACTAACTTCCTCCTCAGGGGACCCCACTGGCTGCTGCCAGGACAGCTATGGCAGAGCGTAGGCCGCAGGCCCCGGCCGGGGTCTCCCCAAGGCTTTGGCCTGCCTCTGAACTGGTGTGGGGGCTGCTTGGGAAAGGAGGAGACCCAATGAGAGGGCCAGACGAGAGCTTGGCTCAGCACCACGACACAGCCACCTTCGAAAAGAGAAGCCCGCAGCAGACCTGCCATTTTGAGGCCTGGGGCGGGCTGGCCCGGAAAGTTACTGGAAGCAGAGGAGACCGCTGTCCTCTCGGTACCCCATCTTCATCCCGCGCCAGGCACCGTCCACGTGTGTCGCTTGCGGTCCACAGAGCAGCCCGACCACGCGTGTGCTGTCTTTGTCCCTACTTGTCGGGCGAGGAAACTGAGGCAGAGAGGGGAAACGATTTGCCTGCGATTGCACAGCGGAGCGGCCGGAAGCCAGGCCTGGCGCAAGCCCCCGGCTAAGGCGAGGGGCAGCCTTTCCGGAGGAGCCGCCGTCGGCCCAGCCCCACGCCCGCATGCAGCACACTCTAGCCCGGGGATCCCCTGACATGAAGGCCCCAGGGACTCAAGTTTGTAGCCAACATTCCCCAACGTGCCACTCGGCCTTCTCGACGGGGCACCTGTGCCCCGGGCCCTACGGCCTTGGATATGTCCGTTTATTTTATAACCAGCTCAGAACAGTCACGGGTTCTGTGCGAGGTCACACGGCTTGAACAGGGCGCAGTCAGGGCTGGAGCCACACAGGGAGCAGTCACAGCACCCCACCCAGCTTCCCAGTCCGGCCCGTCGGGATGCGGCCCCGGGGCTCACGCAGGAAAGCTGAGGTCCTGTGTGACACGCTCTCATTTCTCCTTCCCAGCGACCTGGGAAGGTGGAGATCTCTGTCCCCAGGCGACACGCGAAGAGACTGGGCCACAGGAGGGAGCCCCCTAGACGTGGAAATGCCACCTGGACCGCTCGCGTTCCAACATGTACGTGGAGGGCCTACAGTGGCTTATCGACTTCTGCTAACACCAGACGCTTCCGACACTACCGGCTATTTCCACCATTGTCTCATAAAGAAAAACATCCCTTTAATATCAAAAAGGTTCCTTTAACTTGAACGGTTAGACCTTTTGGTCGCCTTCATTTCTGTCAGGTGCAGAAGCCCCACGAACAGAAAGCTCCGCGCGTCAGCATCAGGACACGCGCCCCGGGCTCCCAGCCCGCTGTCGCACTTGCCACTGCATTCTAAGCGCCACGGCTTCTGGAAGCCTCCCAGCTCCCTGCACTTACACTGCTCCTGACCTCCTCCAACCCCTCCATTCCCCCTGGCCTGCACTGGGTGGGTGACGAGCTGTTTAGGGCCAGGATAGTCGCATCTGCTGTCCACAGAACGTAGGGAAGGGCCTTGGGGCTTCGGAAGTCTGCATCCGGCCGCTGAGTCTGAGCCGAATTCACGGGCTCTTACAAAGTGCTCTGGCTGCAAAGCAGAGCCCCAAGCCAGCCGCTGGCCAGCGATGCGTCGCCTCTGCCTGTCTCCCTTTTCAGGGGAGAAGAGGGAGAGGGGACCACTGAGGGCGGGCGTGGTGGGAGAGGAACTGTCACAGTACGCAGCCGCGAGGGGACTGATTTGCTCCACAAACGCTCTCGACAGTTTTCGCTTAAAGTCGGGAGGCCCCCCACGTGCTCCTTCTTCTCCGACCCCATTCTCCCTCTTTTTGCCCCGGAAACAACCGCTCTCGTGAATTTGTGGTATCTGCAGTCGCTCCTTTAAACTTCTAGAACAAATAGCTGTATCCAAAACAATACGATACTGTTTTTGTGTGTGTGGTTTTTAGAACTTACATAACTGGTGGCCAACTACATGATGTTCTGTAACTTGCCTCTTGTACCATGTGATCGTTGGCTTTTCTAGATGCATCCATGTTAAAATATACAGCTTTAGTTCAGTCGTTTTTAACTGCGTGACTATAGCATAGTTTATCCATTAAAAAAAAATGAAGACAGTGTGATAAATGCTAGGGGACAGTCAGACGCTTACTATACCTCGTGAAGACCTTTCTCCTTTCTGGATTAGTCATGGGGAGTTGTGGTTGCAGTGAGATGGTGAATGAGAAAGCAACACCATCTGGCACACAGCAAGTTCATTACTCGTAATTCCCTGTCGATTAGCGGGACGGGAAAGAGCAAGGGGCTAGATTCAGTGTAATGGATTTCTTGTAAACATTTTGACTTTAAAAAAAAAAAAAGGTTAATCTCCTTTACAGACTTAACACTTCAGCGACCCAGTCTGCAATCATGCAAAAATTAACTCCAGCCCAGGACAGACGAACACGAGTTCTTGTTTACTGAGTGTGGACGGTAGCGACCGACTTCCCAGCTGCTCTGCTTCCCCTCCCACCCGTCCCTGCCCGGCCACCCCCTGCCCTTCCCCAGGTCCCAGGCTTGTGCTCAGCCGCTCCAGAGCCACTGTCGCAGCCAGGGGAATGGCAGGGCTAGGGACTCCGTGGCCTTGGTCGGGGGCGGTCTGGCGGCGATGAGCCCATGGAAGAGGCGGCTGTCAAGAACGGTGTGAAACCCTCACTTCCTCTGCGTGCGCAGGTTCGCAACCACAAGCGCCAGAGCAGAGGGGCAGGTAGCACTCCAGCAGCAGGAGCAGCGGCCCAGCCATGGTCCAGGGGGTAAGTGCTGCTGTCCGGCCGGGCCGGGCCACCGTCGGGTGTTCAGCCCCGGACACCAGGGCAACAGCAGGCCGGAACCACAAGCCAGGGCTGCCGGCGAGTGGCAGAGAACGCATGGGCTGTGGAGAGGGGGCGCCGGGTGGGGAGTGGAGCAGCCACCTGCGGCACTGACTTGTGCGAATGACCACTGGCGAGTCACTCTCCCTCTCTGGCTTCGGCGCCTCATCTGCAAAACGTAGGAGGGAGAGAGGCTCACCCCGGTGGCCCCAAGGCTCCGCTCAGCTCTGATTTGGAGCTTGGACTCTTCGGTCCTGAGCTGGCACTGGGGAGGCCTTGCAGCTCTGGGAGGTTTCTGCGGGAAGGAGAGCATTCCTG